CTTGTTTTTTTATATTTAGCTGGAACCCAGCTTTTGCGCTTTCTTCTTTTCACCTTGATTAGAAGGCTCCTCAGCTCCTCCTCGCTTTTGGCCATCAATGTGGTGTCATCTGCATATCTAAGGTTGTCAATGTTTCTTCCAGCAATTTTCACCCCGTCCTTGCATTCATCAAGCCCCACACATCGCATGATGTGTTCTGCATACAAGTTGAATAGGTAGGGGGAGAGGATACAACCCTGCCGCACACCTTTCCCAATCTTGAACCAGTCTGTTGTTCCATGGTCGGTTCTTACTGTTGCTACTTGGTCCTTATACAGATTCCTCAGGAGAGAGATAGTGTTGTGACTCAGCTTGACTCTGAGTCTGAAGCTGAGCTCTGTGAGCCGGAATTCCTACAGGATGACGAGGGAGATGATGGGTTACAGATTTCTGTACATGTTTCAGACAGGCCTGACGGTGGGGCTGCTGAAGGGGAAACAGCAAGTCAGTTCCCAGGGAAAAAGAATGTTAGTGAGACTGATAACGAGAGTGAATTCCCACATGGCCAGGTGGAGACATCGTTGCCTTCCCACAGTGATCAAGCTGGACCAAGATAAGGGGTTGCATAGCCTTGAAGATAATGAATTAATGAGCAGGCAAGATTGCCTGCAATTAAGGCTCCGGAGAAGCTCTCGCTTGGCCAGCAAGCGAGAAGCCAAGGAGTCCAAGGGTCAACGCAATGCGTTCATGTCTGCAAAGGTTATTTAGCCTTGTAGCTGACAAGCAGGGGCTGTCAGTCCAATGTAGCCTCTTCGCATGAAAACTTCTGTGGATTAAGTTTGGCTTTTAGCAGCACGCTTCTGGCTTCCTGAGTCTGGGTTTTGGGCCTTGTTTTCAACTGTTTTCCAGGACTCTTGTTTGACCATTGCTAAAGGATTATGCTTCATGGTTTTTGCCTTTGGATCTTGGGAACCGTGTCTTTGCATTTAAGCCTTTGTCCTGCCTATGGGTTTTATGCATTTCATATACTCTGTTTTGATTTTGTTTTTTTCTCAATAAACTACAAAATCTACAGCTTTGGTGTGGTGGTGTCTGGAGCAAGGTGAAAACTACCCTGAGTTGCAACAGATAAGGTCATTTGGTATGCCCATACCACCAAGAATTTGCCACAAACTTGCCACAAAAACTTGCCATGAGAGATAAGAGAGGGAAAATGAAGCTGGCTTTTCATAACAGAGTTCACAAAGGAAGTGCCACTGCTTTAGAAAAATAGCTGAGCAATCTGGTATCTTGAAATGGTGGGACATGCAAATGGGGCCTTTGCTGAGGCTGTTAAATTCCAGAAACCATCATAGTAGAAGAGACCTCATTTCAGATATCTCTCTTGGTGGTCTTGCTCTTGCATCTGAAAAAATATGAGCTCTTTTGCTGGAATAATTTTCCTTTCCTTGAAATTCAGGACAAGATTCTCAGCAGTCTATCAAAAAAAAAATATTGTGTTTTTCTACACTTACTGTATATACTCGAGTATAAGCCTAGTTTTTCAGCCCCTTTTTTAGGCTGGAAAAGCTTCCCTTGGCTTATACTCCAGTCAAGGTTATTTATTATTTTATTCTGTTATTAGTATTATTTTTATTTCATGTATTATTTTACTTTATTATTATTACATTTACAGTATTTTACCCTATTATTATTATTATTATTACATATATTATACTTTATTATTATTGCATTTATTATTTTACTCTATTATTACATTTATTATTTTGCTCTACTATTACTGTTATTATTGCATTTCCATTATTTTATTTTATTGTTATTATTATTATTATTATTATTATTACATTTATTATTTTATTCTCTTTATTATTGTTGGAAGAATGTGCAAGTATATTTACACAGAAGGTTAAAATAATTATTTAATCAGAGTTGGGCAGTCTTATTTTAAATTACAGTTTTATGTAAATATTCAAAAACATTTCACCTCCTGATGCCTCAATTAATGTAATGTTATTGGTATTTATTTTTATTTTGAAATTTACCCATAGCGGCTGCATTTCCCACCCTCGGTTTATACTCGAGTCAATATGTTTTTCCAGTTTTCGTGGTAAAATTAGGTGCCTCGGCTTATATTCGGGTCGGCTTATACTCGAGTATATACGGTAATTTGCATACAAAAATAACCCTTAGGCATATCAGAGGAAATGATTGCACTGGACACCATTTTGAATTAGATGTACATTCACAATGCACAAATTCTATTTCAGTTTGAACAAACAGCCATAGACAAGTCAAAAGGAAACACATCTTTAGTATGATGGTTCCACAAAAACAGGAAACACATTTGTAAACAAACACAGAGCAAGCCAACGTATTTCCAAACAAACATTACAAACCAACACCAATGAATACAAAGTATACAATTAAACAGCAAGGTGTTGGGTATTAATGTAATTCATCCTCAAATGGAATAGTAATGTTGAGATCTGAACAGGACAAACTGAAGAAGCTAATTTGCAATTCTGTTTAAAATATGCCTAGACAGGTATGGAATCTGACCATTAATTATTACAATGGCATTTGAGCAGGGAGAGAAAAATAAATATAGGATTTTAAAAAATCAATATTCATTAAAATAAAGAAAGACAGACAGACAGAAAGTGGGTTGTTGTGAGTTTTCCAGGCTGAATGGCCATGTTCCAGAAGCATTCTCTCCTGACGTTTCGCCTGCATCTATGGCAGGCATCCTCAGAGATTGTGAGGTCTGTTGGAAACTAGGAAAATGGGGTTTATATATCTGTGGAATAATGTCCAGGGTGGGAGAAAGAAGTCTTATCTGTTTAGGGTAGGTGTGAACGTCTCAATTGGCCACCTTGATTAGCATTTAATTGCCTAGCAGTTTCAAGCTCTGGCTGCTTCCAGCCTGGGGGAATCCGTTGTTGGGAAGTGATTACCTGGCCCTTGTCTGGAATTCCCCTGTTTTTGAATATTGTTCTTTATTTACTGTTATGATTTTAGAGTTTTGTAATGCTAGTAGCCAGATTGTGTTCCTCCTTTCTGTTGAGATTGTCCATATGCTAATAAACGTAATAATAATAAATGGAGAAAATAATAAATATAATAATAATAATAATAATAATAACTAGAGTAAAAAAATAAATGTAATAATAATAAAGTAAAATAATAAATAGAGAAAATAATAAATGTAATAATAATACTAACTAGAGTAAAAAATTAATGTAATAATAATGATAATAGCAACTAGAGTAAAAAATAAATGTAATAATAATAATAATAATAATAGTAACGAGTAAAAAATAAATGTAATAATAATAATAATGATAATAATAACTAGAGTAAAAATAAATGTAATAATAATAATAATAGTAACTAGAGTAAAAATGTAATAATAATGATGATAATATAGAGTAAAAATAATAAATGTAATAATAATAAAGTAAAATAAAAATAGAGAAAATAATAAATGTAATAATAATAATAACTCGAACACAGAAATGCTGGACCACTCTAACAACTACCATGTCAGACTACATAGAGAAGGCATTGAAATCCACAAGCATGTGGACAATTTCAACAGAAAAGGAGGAAACCATTATAATGAACAAAATCTGGCTACCAGTATTTAAAAAAAATCCAAAATCATGACAGTAAATAAAGAGCAAGACTCAAAAACAGAGGAATTCCAGACAAGAAACAATCAGGACCAGCTAATCACCTCCCAACAAAGGGTTCCCCAGGAAGAAGCCAGACCTTGAAACTGCTAGGCCATCAAATGCTAATTAAGGTGGCCAATTGAAACATTCACACCTGCCTAAAGCAGGCAAGAGTTTTTTTCCTCCCACCCTGGATATTCCACAGACATATAAACCCAATTTTCCTAGTTTCCAACAGACCTCGCAACATATTGTCGAAGGCTTTCATGGCCGGAATCACAGGGTTGTTGTAGGTTTTTCGGGTTATATGGCCATGTTCTAGAGCAGTGGTTCTCAACCTGTGGTTCCCCAGGTGTTTTGGCCGACAACTCCCAGGAATCCTAGCCAGTTTACCAGCTGTTAGGATTTCTGGGAGTTGAAGGCCAAAACATCTGGGGACCCACAGGTTGAGAACCACTGTTCTAGAGGCATTCTCTCCTGACGTTTCGCCTGCATCTATGGCAAGCATCCTCAGAGGTCGTGAGGATGCTTGCCATAGATGCAGGCGAAACGTCAGGAGAGAATGCCTCTAGAACATGGCCATATAGCCCGAAAAACCTACAACAACCCAGACCTCACAACCTCTGAGATTATACACAAATATATACATACACATAAACACATATATACACACACAAAACACATATACATAGACTGGGCCACAGCAACGCGTGGCAGGGGACGGCTAGTTACTGATATTACAGATATATAAACTCCATTTTCCTAGTTTTCAACAGAGCTCGCAACCTCTGAGGATACCTGCCATAGATGGGGGTGAAACGTCAGGAGAGAATGCTTCTGGAATATGGCCAGACAGCCTGGAAAATTCACAACAACTCAGTGATTCTGGCCATGAAAGCCTTCGAAAATACAAGACAGAAAGGTTTTTTTGCACAGTAATGGAAGTAAATATTGTCTAATTTCCTTGTGGCTGTATGGGAGAAAGAATGGAAACAGCGCCCATGCTGAAACCATGGCTTGTTTCGCGACTGATAAATGTTACATCCAAATGTGTTGAACTATGACTACAGAAACAAAGGAGAAACATGCAAGGTCTCTGATATACAAGTCCCTTTGAGGAGCCACTACAAACCTAAATTCCACGCCATCCTTCCTATTCTATCATAGGAAAAGCATAATGAGAACAGACCCACCGAAAAACCATCTAAACAAATATCTCCAGCTCTTAACTCCCTCCCAAACGCAACAACAGTATTTGACTCAACAAAGATGACAGGCCTTGCATTCATACACCTCTCCATCAAAAGATTTTCAATATGCAAGGACTGGCTTAGCTGCAAGGGCAACCTAGCTGGCAAAGTTGTCCACCAACTGCTTTTGGGGCCACTTGCCAAAGTCCTGCAATCTCAGCTGCGTGTACATCTGGAGCTTGGCACTCTGATAGGCTTCCGCTTGGACCTGGAGTTGGAAGAATCAAGAAGGAAAATTTAAAAGTGAGATGTAACATTTCTCTATAATGGCGAGAAAGTTCCTGCTCCAAACAAATCTATCTATACACATCAAAAAAGTGAATCTGTATGTGTGCATGTGGCAGGAATGTCCGGCCTCCACTAAGAGCTATAACCCACAGTGCTGAGGAGCCGCCAAAGCCCTCCCTCCAAGGACATTGCAGGTTACAGCAAACCACATCCCAGTGTTCCTTTCTCTCTCAATTGGTGTGAAATTTGCATGACCCCGCCCGCTGCCTCTCCCTTAACTCTTTCCTATTCTTTTCTATGGCACACAGCAACTGAACATACTAGAGCAGTGTTTCTCAACCTGAAGGTTGGGACCCATGGGGTGGGGGTTGCGAGGGGGGTTTCAGAGGGGTCGCCAAAGACCACCAGAAAACACATATTACTGATGGTCTTAGGAACTCTTTTGTCAAAGAAGGCTGAAGATCTCTCCGCCTATCAGTCTCTCCCTTTTTGGTGTTGGCGAACTACAACTCCCAGAATTCAAAAACAGCTCCCTCTCCCCCACCAGTATTCAATGTTGGCCTTGAAGGTAGTGTGCAAAGTTTGGTGCAGATGCATTGTGGGCTGAGTTCAAAGTGCTCTTTGATTGCAGGTTAACTATAAATCCCAGCAATTACAAATGTCAAGGTCTATTTTCCCCAAACTCCACCAATGTTCTTATTTGGGCATACTGAGTATTTGTGCTAAGTTTGGTCCAGATCCATCATTGTTTGAGTGCACAGTTCTCCCTGGATGTCGGTGAACTACAACTCCCAAACTCAAGGTCAATGCCCACCAAACCTTTTCAGTATTTTCTGTTGGCCATGGGAGTTCTGTGTGCCAAGATTGGTTCAATTCCATCACTGGTGGAGTTCGGAACGCTCTTTGATTGTAGGTTAACTATAAATCCCAGCAACTACATCTCCCAAATGAAAAAATCAACCCCCAACCCCACCAGTATTCAAATTTGGTTGTATTGGGTATTTGTACTGAATTTGGTACAGTGAATGAAAATCCATCCTGCATATCAGATGTTTACATTGCGATACATAACAGTAGCAAAATTCCGGTTATGAACTAGCAACAAAAATAATTTTATGGTTGGGGGTCACCACAACATGAGGAACTGGATTAAGCGGAAGCGGCATTAGGAGGGTTGAGGAACATTGCTCTAGAGAAAGAGGTTTGGGGAGAATTCACCATGATTTATAGGAAGTGTAGGGACTGCGATGTATAGTTCACCTGCAATCTAAACTCTGAACCCCACCTGGAACTAACCTGGTGCACAGACCCCAAAAAAATCAGCTTTGCATACTGCTGGGGTTTGAGCGTGATTGACCTTGACATCCAAGAGTTATAGTTCACCTATTTTTAGAGAACACTGATCCCATCTGATGATGGATCTGCACCAAACTTGGCACACACCCCCAACATGGCCAACTTTGAATATTGGTGGGGTTTGGGGGCAAACGTCCTTGGATCGGGGAATTGTAGTTTGCACTTATCCAGAGAGCGCTGAACGCAGCCAATGTTGGATCTGCACCAAACCTTGCACACACATCCAACATGCCCAACTTTGAATACTGGTGGCCAAGTTTGTTGGTGAATGTTTTTGGATCTGGGAGTTGTAGTTCACACTTATCCAGAGAGCACTGAACACAGCCGGTGTTGAATTGGCACCAAACTTGGCATACACATCCAACGTGGCCAACTTTGAATACTGGTGGGCTTTGGGATTGATTGTCGTTGAATCTGGGAGTTATAGTTTGCCTTTATCCAGAGAGCACTGAACACAGCCAACGTTGGATGGGCACTACACTTGGCACACAGATCCAACACAGCCAACCTTGAATGCAGGTGGGTTTTGGGGGTGATTGTCCTTGGATCTGGGAGTTGTAGTTCACGCTTATCCAGAAAGCACTGAACGCAGCCGACGTTCGACCTGCACCAAACTTGGCACATAAATCCAACATGGCCAACTTTGAATACAGGTGGGGTTTGGGAGTGATTGTCCTTGGATCTGGGAGTTGTAGTTCGTCCTTATCCAGAGAGCACACAATACACCCAACGTTGTATATGCACCAAACTTGGAACACAGATCCAACATGGCCAACTTTGAATACAGGCGGGGTTTGGGGTGATTGGCCCACGATTTTGGGAATTGCAGTTCATCCACATCCTTATGCATTTTCGAATGGGAGCATTCATAAATAACAAAACAAATAATAACACCCCGAAACAAACAATGCCTTTTTCAAATAACCCAGGTAAAAAATAACAAACAGCCCTTTGAAGAATGGAAGGGGCTCACTTTGCCTTCGTGGTATGTGGGTAGCGATGTCAAGTCCTCTCTCTTCATCTCCCGAGCCACCTTTCTAAACATGCTCCACATGGTGGCCTTGCAGAGCCGACTGGGGCGGTACTGGTCTCCTGGGTGTGCCATGCTGAGGGAAGGGAAAGGGAGGCACGACACGAATCAACACTGAGCCACAGAACAAAGCAGGTTTTCTTTCAAGGAAACAACAAGGCATCCCAGCACAATTCCGCCACTGTACCAAGAAAAGATCACAAACAGAAGGCAGAGTGGGAATTGCAGAATCCTGGCTCAAGATCCCAACACAAACTGTATATATGTCAGTCATGAACAACAACGCCAAATGGTTTCCTCTTCCCACATGCAAGGCAGTTGCATAAAACAAGAGTAACCGACATGAATACATTTTTAAATCTTACATCAGAGGTTGTCAGGGAAGAAGGTGGAAGGACATTTGAATGGGACGTACAACTGTTTAGGCTGTCAATACAAATTTTGGAACCATGCAGAATATCTGATTTATTACTCCCAACCATCTCCTGTTTAGGCTATCAATACATGTGTTTATTTACCGTATTTACTCGAGTATATATGGAGTTTTTCAGCCCTTTTTTAAGGCTGGAAAAGCCCCCCTCACCTTATACTCGAGTCAAAGTTATTTATTATTTTACTGGGTTATTATTATTATTATTACATTTATTATTTTACTCTATTCATCATCATCATCATCATTATTATTACTTTTTTATTTTACTTTATTATTATTGTTGTCATTATGACATTCATTATTTAACTCTAGTTACTATTATTATTACATTTATTATTTTCTCTATTTATTATTATTATTACATTTATTATTTTCTCTATTTGCTATTATTATTATATTTATTATTTTACTCTATTATTACTGTTATTATTACATTTCCATTATTTTACTCTATTATTATTATTTTCTCTATTTATTATTATTACATTTATTATTTTCTCTATTTTTATTATTATTATATTTATTATTTTACTCTATTATTACTGTTATTATTACATTTCCATTATTTCACTCTATTATTATTATTATTA